AAACACCTACTTGCTTTTTTAAAATCAGCAATTGCAATCAGAGGAAATGAGGTGTTCTGGCCCTTTGTCACCAGTGCATGTAGGGAAGGAACAAGAATGGCTCTCACTGCTCACAATGGCAGGTGGGGAACAGCTAGGAGTGTCGTGACAACACCATGGTGGTCACTGCTACGTAGGAGCCACACGGTTGGCTCCAGCTCATATCAAGCCTGTGTCTAACAGAAGGGCCATCCTGACCGTGTTGTGATGGTTGAGCTCATTGCTGCCGCCATGGTGTCCTTCCATCTTTTTGAAGGTCATCCTCTTTTCGTCTGACCCTTTACTTTACTCAGCAGGATGTCTTTTTCCAGGGACTGATGGCATGTCCAAAGAACGTGAGACAAAGTCTCACCATCCTCGCTTCTCAGGATCCCTCTGGCTGTACTTCCTCCCAGACAGATTTGTTCGTCCGCTGGCAGTCCACAGTGCTTTCCACAGTCTTCGCCAACGCCATGACGCAAACGCATCAGTTCTGCTGCGGCCTTCCTCCTTCTTTGCCCAACTTTCACAGGTACGTGGGTTGACTGAAAAGACTCCTGGTGGAACTTAGTCCACAAAGCCACAACTTTGCTCATGAACACTTCAAATAGTCCTTGAGGAGACGTGCCCGCTGTGACACGCCTCTTGATGTCTTGACTGCTGCTTTCTTGCGTGTTGATGGTGGGTCCAAGGGATGTGTGGGCCCACAGTAGCAAGCAGCCAGGAAAGGTAGGGGATGAAAGCGTAACGTAGGCATGGTGTTGATTTCTGTCCCACATTTTCTTCAACTCTACCAAGGACCTTCTAATTCGATCCCTTTCAGAGCAGGTGGAAGTGGTAACCAGACAACACCTAGTTCTCTTGGTCTCAGGGTCATGGAGGCTCAGGTTCAAGTGCTCCACTAGTGCACTGGACTAATGGTTGACCTGGTCTCCAGTTCCCTTGACTAGTCTTTCCTCTGAGCAGGGAGAGACCAACAGTTGCACCCTAGAAGGCCATATCCCCACTGGAAGACCTCACTACAGGAGGGTGCAGAACACTGTCTTTGTGGGCTGTTATGTTCCTTGGCTCTATGGTCCTCTGAGACTATGGTTCTGAGCCCCCGGCCCCAGGGTTTTTTTTTCATAATTTTGTCCTCTGCACATTCCACCAATTTATTTTGCGGTGGTCCTTAGTCACCCTTCGGGTCTGAAAATGAACTCATGCCTACCCCAGCTCTGTTTTCAGCCAAACAATAGGCAGGCCCCGGAGAACAGGAACCGTCTGAGAGGGGAGCACGCCCTTGAAGAACCTACTACTTCAGAGGATAAGGGCAGCATTTACCGCGGGACCAAGTTCAGGAGCGTCCGGGAGAAGGAAGTCAGGAAATAGGACACGCAGGGAAGTGATGCTACATGGTAATCAACAGCCTGAAACAAGATGCGTATGAATTAGTGAACGGAACATGGATCTGTTCTGTAAGCCAATTCACAACCCAAAGTAAAGCAAAGTATGGATTGAAGTAGGGAGGTGCATTTGCTTTCTCAGTGTCTTGACTCATTCGGGCTACCGTCGTTGCCCCGGGACACCAGGAAACGCTGTAGTCTGAGCGTTTTTGTTCCTATGGAAACGACAACATGGCCGCAGAGTGAATTGGTCCCTGGAGAGCTGCGCGATTGGCCCAGGAAGGTATGGAAAGCTGACTTCTCAGGGAAGCTGTGGCCAGGGGGTTCCCTCTATGTCTTTTGGGAGCCTTGTGGGGCTGAGACTTGGGGCTGGGGGGAATCAGATGGGATCCTGAAGAGAGCTTAAAACCAGCCCTGAGTATATGTTAAGTCCCACTTCATGTTGCCTGTTGATTCCTTCTTCGCAATGACCTCCACTTTTTCCACTGGTCGTCTCAGGAATTTTTTAGAAAGGAAATTAAATCAGTAAAGGAAATTGATGATATATATATCATATATATACATACATACACACACTGGATTTTTTAAATCCTGTTTGCCCGGGCTCTGCACAATGATTGCAGACCTCCAAGTCATTGGAAGAAGACCAGACTAGTGTGGAGACCGATTCATGATTATAGTGGTATAGGCTTGTCGGTTGCTTTTCAAATTGGTGCTCCATTCCAGCGATGTATCAACTTATTAAGTAGTCAGGCGACTCCCTCATTTTGCAGGTAAGCAGATTGAGACTTGGGGAGGCGGAGGGACTTTGCTTTCTCAACAGTGAGCAGGCGCTAGATGCATCTAGATGCAGTGCTCAAGGCTAAGGCCTGGACTTGATCTGGATCAGCTGTCTATTCCCCGGTCTCTTATCTCCTCTGTGCCCTCTTGTCTGTAGTGTCCTGTGTTAACGGGAGACTTTTCAGAGCCCCTGTCAAACCCTCTGATGATGAGCATTCATGAGACAAGGCAGGGCTGCTGTGCCTTCTGCCTTCCAGAGGCACCGAAGTAAAGAGACTCTCCTCTCTGTCTCCCCAGCTTGCATTTCTTTATTGCATCTGGATGGCCGCTACCCAGTGAGAGGTGGAGGACTTGATTGTCCTGTCCAGTGCCTAGCACAGTGCCTGGTGCACAGTAGGCACTCCGTGAATGAATGAATGAATGAATGAATGAATGCGTGACTCTCAGACAAGCCCCCTCCAGAGACTTTGGAGGTGTTGACAATTAGGAAAAGTGTTTCAGCTCTGGATGGGGGACGGGAAGGGTCTGGCCGAGTGACTGATGGAAGTGCAAATTTCTAAGGGGTGGTCGTGAAATGATTGACATGTGTCTGCTTGTCAGATGACTCAGCGTCCTGGGTAGGACCATCTGAGCGTGTCATCAGCAGGAGGTGCATCCCAAACTTGAAAGATCATTTCAGACCGAGCAAAAGGCAATGCACAGCAATTCCTAAGTCATCGCCAGGTTGAACATGATGGCTTCGCCCTGGCGCCTGGCAGAAGACACATTCCCAGCCCGTGTCTGTAGAAATTGTTGATGCTTTTGAGATTGATGTTCCTAGTGTGAGGAGAAGAGGCTGTGGGGTCTGAAAATACACTGATAGTCCACCGAGGTATTCGATCCATGTTGTTCAGTTTGGTAGCTGCTAGACACATATGTCAGCCGAGCTCCTCAAAGGTGGTGGTCAGGGTGAGATGTGTGGGAAGAGTAGAATACATACCAGATTTCCAGGGCTTGATACAAAGTACCTCATTAGGAATTTATATAAGAGGGGGTACCCAAAAAAAACTGGAGCAAAGTTCTGCTGGGCAGAGCTTTGGTAGTACGTATTTTTTCCTCTAGGCGATCAAGATTGGAATCACAGATTTGACAAATGTATTAAGTGTAATGGAGAGTACTTTGAAGGTGATAAGATTGTTTTGTAAAATAAATAAATACATACATACATACATACATACATAGCTTTGAGGGGGGAAATTCCATTTTGGGGGGATAGGGGTACCTCCTCATATTTATTACATGTTCCGATGGTCATATTTTATTCTGTTGGGTTGAATGAAATATACTAGGACAATTCATTTCACCCATTTATTTTTGCCTCTTTAATGCGCTTACATGAAAATTTCAGATTACAGGTGGGGCTTTGTGCTACATCGGGGCCGGGGTGGTGCGCTGCTGTGTGGTTCGGTGGGAGATGCTTCCACGTGGCATTGAAAGGGAAATTCGAGGTGACTATTTCAAGGTGGCTTGTCGACATGGTCTGCAAATCACCTGCAGAAGGTCCTGAGCGTGGGTCCTGTGTCTGAGTGTGAACACCTTTATCTTCTTCCAGCTACAAAACACATCCTTGGGCCGACTGTTCATCATCTCCGTAAACCTGTACTGAGAACCTGGATGACAGGTTGGGTTTGGCTGGAAAAGACCCAGAAATCTGGGAAGTCCATTTACCTCGTCTTCACCCCTTCTTCATATCCTCACAGGACGCAAGGCGTGCTCTGAGGAACACGTGGAGAGTAATCCCCAGGCAGAGGTGATGCAGGTTCTAACAGTGCTCCAGGGCCCTTGCTGTGTGATGCCAGCTCTGGTTGTAAGCGTAGAGGAGCATGGTTGGAGGGGGGTCCCCAAGCCCCTCTTCCCAAATGCCTTTCCCGAGAGGTGAGTCTCCAGCTCCCAGGCAGAGCCCTGGACCTTGTCGGCCACCTCACACTCACGGGTGTCACCTCATACGTGGTGCCAGAGCAGGGAACTGGCGCTCTCCTCCACGGCAGGAATGGTCCTGGTGTGTCTGCTCCGCCCGTCTCTCCTTTTCCATGTCCTTCCCAGCTCACTCGGATTTATTCCCAGATCCAAACCCCGGCCAGGATCTGGCAGAAACTTCTCCCCTTGAACGTGTCTTCCAGGCGGCCTGATGTTCAGGGAGAGCAGGAGATGTGCCATGACCTCCACGTCGTGCCTGAGTGCCTGCACCGTGACCACCGCCACCATCAATAACGACAGTGTGGTTTGCAGCGGCAGCAGCAATAGTAGCAGCAGAAACAGCAAAAAAAGCGGCGACAGCAGCAACAGATGCAGCAGCAGCAGCTGCTGCAACCTCTGTGTGAGGTCACCTCCGGGCAACAGGGTAGGAAGCTGAGAGGGCTTGCCTCCCCGCCACCCCCCCTCCTGCCTAGGCCGGGCACTGTCCCCTGCATAGATTGGCCACCAGTGGCAGCAAGGAGCACAGCAAGACAACTCTGGGGGCGGTGGGACTCTAGGGAGGAGTGGCAGGGGCTGCTAGGGTCGCCGGTACTTCTCCTTTCTCTGGAAAGCTCCTTTTGTCCTGGGCCCGGAGGGCTTTGTATGGCTGGTTCCGTTTTGGAACTCTAAGGGGGGGTGGGGGAGGGCGTATAGGTGGACTACAGGGTACAGCTTTGTATGTTGTTATTGATGTGATAGTGGGCATGTTGGCCTCCCTGTGGACTGGGACTCATGTTTGGGAGGGCATCTCATTCCTCCAACGGTGCCACCCTGGGCCCATTAGCCCTCAGGCCCATGCCTTGTCCTGCCTTGCCTCTGTGGTAAGCTCAGAGCAGAGAAACACGCTCGCCCTTCCCGGCCCTCCCTACTTTGGGCAATGTCTTCTCAGGGGCCCCACCGATGTGGCTGCAGCTCTCGGGGCCCTAAAGAGCCCGCCTCGTCCCCACCCCTCTTGAGCCGATGACAGGTTCTGGAAATCCTTCACTTCTGGCTTCCCTCACTGGCCCCTGTTGTGAAAGTAATTCCCTACATCGAAGCCCCTCGTGTAAGCCCCTCGAGGGTGTCTGTTCTCTTGGTTGGACCTTATCGTTTGGCCTTTTGTGTTCAAGTCACGCTAAGCGTGTTTCTTTTTAAAACGTGGTGAACAGATACCTGCGAGACCCGTGAGCCCCGCAGCCTGCAGCCTCCACACTGACAATGTCGTGACAGCAGTCGCTTGCTGTGTGGGGCAACTTCCCCCAAGTTGTTCTGCCACCAGGAACGTCCAACTCAATGCCTCCTACCTAACCCAAACCCTTCTTTTTCCAACTCCTGACCACCTGCGGGCTTTCTGTCTGTCTGCTTCCTAGAAGTGAGGTTATCCTGCGCTGGTCCTTTGGCAACGGTCAGGTCCCCCTCGGCCTCCTGTCTTCTGGGCATGTCCATGGGCAGCAATGAAGCTTATAGGGCGTTGGCCTGCCCCCGGCTGTGACACTTCTCCTCCCTGGGTAAATCTAAAGAGGGAGCACCGTGTCGGCCACTAGAAAGCTCTCTGTAGATAGGGACACTGGGGGTGTGAGCTCCAAGAGAGAAGGGTGTGTTGGTTTTGGCCACCACTGTAATCTCAGCAGCTAGAAGAATGAGTGGTCAATAAGTGTGCGTTGAGTGAATGAGTATATACTTGTGTGATATCATACTCTAAAAGCAACGACTGGTCCAGGGGAAGCTATGACAGCAAGGGAATTGAACCTGCCTAGTGCCAGCTCTCCTGAAAGGGGCAGAGGTCCTGCTTCAGTCCTCCTGCCACTTGACTGTCCCCAGGGTCTCTGTGCTTCTCCCTCCTCTCCTCAGACCCAGAGAGCTTATGGGTCAACCTATGAAACCATCAGTCAGGATGAACAGGGCCAGCACTCCAAGTGGCCCTGGAAGACAGCATGGGGCGGGGCTCCGGCACAGGCAAATGGGCTTTTCCCTCTTTCCTGCCAGCCAGCTAGGGTGAGGGAATGGTGGAGCATCCCTGCAGTCTGGACAAGCAGCTAGGATACACTGGTCCAGCTGAGAGAAGCCGTGCCAAAGAGAGGGAGGCCTGGGAAGATGAGGAATGTACTGAGGGTGCACTGAAAAACAGAAGAAGCCAGCCAGGCCTGTATTTGTGTGCCAGGTGGAATTACTGGAGGGAGCGACGTCGGGAAGGGACTTCAGTTGGAAGGGTATCCACGGGGCTTAAAACAGACTTTCCAGCTCTAGGGCCTGCACACGCCTCGCCTTCTCGTCATCTTTGAATCCCACCCGCTAATATGCTCTTTCCTCTCCCCTCCTCCCTGTCAGCTGAAGCAACCTTCCAAGTCCCAGGGAGTTCAGATGTGCTTGCCAAAGAAGCAGGACCGAGTGAGGAGGATGGTCGTCTGGGGCATCGAGGTCGTGGAGGAGCTGCACTGGAAGGGCTGGGAGCTGGGGAAGGAGATGACTCGGCATCTGGCCCTGAAAAACCTCTCCTTGAAAATCCAGAAGATCAGTTACAGGTACCCAGTCGGCGAAAGTCAGACAGGCTTCCAGCCTCCCACTTCCCTCACCAATCCTGATGCCGCCTGTCCCTCCCACAACACTCTCTGTTTTCCAACTGGTTGCTGTCATTTATTGCAATGGCCACTCGGACGTCGCAGACAATGCCCATGGCTGAGAGGCTAGTTCATGAAGGTGACAGATGACAATTCAGGCGAGAAATGCTCAGCATGCAGCGGTTGAGTCCGGACAACTGCTGCCTGACGTAACTAGGAAAGCTGAGATTAACGGTGACAGTTGGCGGTGTGAATTCCCCAACGTTGTTCTCCTTTGAAATTGTCTTGGCTCCCATGGCATTGGACGACGGTGCTGGTGAAGACTACTGAAAGCTCCACGGACTGCCAAAAGAGCCAACATCTGTCTGGGAAGAAGTACAGCCAGAAGGCTCCTTAGAGGCAAGGATGACGAGACTTGGTCTAATGTACTTTGGACACATTGTCAGGTACTTTCCAGCACCTCGTCCACATGGGAACGCTGGGCTATGAACAGAGAAGACGGCGAGGAACCGTCATTTGAACAACGGTGTTGGTGAAGAACTTGGCAACTATTGTGACTGCTGGAAGGACACACGCGTCCGTCTCCGAAGAAGGGCCACCAGCATGCTCCTGAGAGGTGAGGACAGCGAGCCTTCCTCTCCTTCGGAGACCAGCTCCCGCGAAAGGACCTCCTGCTTGATAAAGTGGGCGATCAGCCACAAAGAAGAAGACCATCGAGAAGCTGGACTGGCCCCTTGGCTCCGGCCATGGGGGCATACACAACAGCTTTGGTTAGGGTGGGTCAGGACTGGGCGGGGTTTTGCTCCTGGTGCACTGGGTCACTGTGAGTCAGAACCAACTTGGCGGCATCTAACAACAGCAGCGGCGGCCATGCAGCGGGAAAGACCAGACAATCTACTCTCATAAAAGTCCCAGCCTAGAAAACAAAACTGCCCCTGGGGCACTTCCACCCCATCCTATGAGGTTACTATGAGCTGGCATCGACTTAACAACACACAACAACGGCCATCAAACTTAACTATGGTTCTTGAGCCAGTCTTAGTCAGTGATATTTCCCTAGGGCGATGCATATTTCGAAGGAGCCCTGGTGGTGTAGTGAGTTACACATAGGGCTGCTCACCACAAGGTCAGCTGTTCGAAACCACTCAGGAGAAAGATAAGGCTTTCTATTCCAGTAAAGATTCACAGTCTTGGAACACCCCCCTCCCACCCCAGGGGCAGCTCCACCCTGCCCTATAGGGTCTCTGTGACTAGGCATGGACTAGGCATGGACTAGATGGCAGTTGAGGGCAGTTGTACATGAAATGTTAACCCTTACTGGTATGGAGTCGTGGAAAAGGTCCTTTGATTGGGGACAGTTTTAAAGTCAGAAGCATCTTCAGTTGTGACCCACCCTGAGATTCTCGCTCTGCTGGGATCTCTGCAAAGGCATCCTGGCACCTCCATTCTCAGCATTGGTTTCTCCCAGCTCAGGGATTCTGTTAAATTAACAGTCCCTCCCCGCCACTCTCCCTACTGCCCACCACGCCGAGCAGAGGGGTCAATGCTGCTGCTTTGCCCTAAATCCATTGATTCGGTGCTCTCAGAAGTCTGAGAGAGGAGCAGGGGCCAGAGGGGGCCCAATGAGTCCTGAGGTGCAATAGTTACTCAGCTGCTAATCGAAAGGTTGGTGGTTCAAAGCCACCCAACGGTTCCTCAGGAGAAAGAGCCGGCCTGCTTCCTTCAAGACTACAGTCAAGAAAACCCAATTGGGGCAGTTCTACTCTCACGCACGGGGTCATTCAGAGCTGGCACTGATTGAACAGCACAGCAGAACCCAGCAATAACAGAGGGGGCCTGAGCCAGGAGGAGGGAGAGAGGTCCCGATGAGAGGTCCCCTGTGGTGCCCCCTTCATGGTGCCATGGTCAGGGTCTCTTCTCCAGGAGAGAGGCTGCCTGCCGTCTTCCTTCCCCCTCTGACTGCCTCTGCCCTGCTCCTGAGCCGCTTCTCCCGGGCTGTCTTCCGCAGGCCTCCCAAGACGAAGTTCTTCTACACCGTTATCCCTCAGCCCATCTTACTGAGTCCAGGCATCACCTTCAACCTCCCCATCTTCTTTCGGCCTCTGGAGGAGGTAGGGCATCTGCCAGAGCTGGAAGAGGTGGGAGGGACACGAGGACAAGGACTGAGCAGGGTAGCAGGGTTTCCATGCAGCCCCGTATCCCACCACCCACCAAGAAGCCCCAGAAAGGGGCTCAGACCCAAATCTCACCGAGGCAGGGACAGTGTCCAGGCTGTGGTACTGGCTAGCCCCAGATGCCTAGGCCTCTTCCTGTTCCCCCAAAGCCTCCCCGACTAGTACAGGAGGCCCGCAGAGGAGGACCTATACCTCTGAGAGCGAGACGGTGTTGAAAACCAGGAGGGTGTTTCCCATACAGCCCAGCCCCTCGATCATCGAGTTGGAGTGGCTGAGGCTGTGGGGGAGGGGAGGTGCTCCCTGTTCAGAGCCTGCCTCCTCTCCTCCCTGCTCCGGACCCTGCAGAAGGAGTACATGGACCAGCTGTGGTTTGATAAAGCGGATGACTCGTTCTGTGTAGACCTGAGGGCCATGCTGCCCCGTCACAAGCTGATCTGCCCTGAATTCCTGAAGCTGCCCATGTGCGCCGTGGGGGCCATGGTCGAGGCCTGGTTCTGCCTGGACAATGTGGGGTGAGGGCAGAGGCTGAGCCTCACTCCCCCTTGAAGTGAGGGGTGTCTGGAGGGGACAGTTGGGTTGGGGGGGTGGCTATCCTAAAGCAGGGCACTGGCCAGCGGAGCACAGGAGCTCTGACTGCCTCCAACCTCCCCCTCCCCCAGGGACCTGCCCACCTTCTTCAACTGGGAGGTCTCCAACCCATTCCAGATACAGCCCACCACAGGGCTACTGGAGCCAGGTCAGACCTGTCAGGCCAAGGTGACCTTCCATCCACTCAAGACTGCCACCCACGAGATGCTGGCTATATGCTGGTTTGGGGACAAGGGCGATCAAAAGACTAGCATCCAGCTGGAGGCTTTGGGTGAGGACCCACCCTCGCCCATCCCTGTCGGTCACAGCCCCCTGGATCCCAAAGCTTCAGTAGGCCCCACCTCCTGCCTTGGCTCCCAGGGGGCCTGCCCTCCCCTTAGCCCTGCTGCTACTGCCTGCCTTGGGGTTAAAGGCAGGGCTTTCCAGGGCAACTTTTGCCTTCTGCATAGAACTGTCTGGCTGGGGTCCCAAAGAGCCTGTCAGCCCTTCTCCCATCCCCCATGCCACAAGCCTCTGTCTTTCCCCAGCCAAGTGTGCCCAGCTGGTGGTGACCCTAAAGCAGAAGCGACCTGAAGACCAGGACGCCGAGGGCTGCCAGAAGGTGCTGCACTTTGGCTCTGTCCCTGTGGGCTGCACCGCCGAGAGGCAGATCATGCTGTTTAACCCAACCATGGTAGGCGCCCTGGTGTCTCTGCACTGCAGGACTGGGCGCTCCTACCACCCCCTTCCCCCAATCCCCGTACATCAGACCCTGCAACCCTGGGCCTCCTGGATGGAGTCCATGCTGTGAATGCCCCTCTCCTGGCAGCTGGGACGTCCCCCAAGCCACAGAGCACCCCATGAAGACTACCATCATGGGGCTCCTCAATGAGGAGGAAAAGGGCCTTCTGGGTGGCCCGGGTCCCTGAGGGCTCAAAGAGCCTGCATTCAGCCACTCACCTACCGGTTGGCAGTTGAAACCCACCCCGTGGCAACGCAACAGCCCGCCCTGGCGTCTTCTTCCATAAAGACCCTGGGATTAAAAAAAAAAAAAAAGACCCTGGGACTTCATTCTGCTCCAACTGGGCAACTGGGTTGGTGTTTTGGTTCCTGCTCAGGGCCTGGGCCATGGGACCTTCCTTCGGCCAGGTGACATGTTCATGGCCTGAGGAGGGGGCACAAGCCAGGGTCAGTGTCCTGGGCCCTGACTTCCCTGCCTGACCCGGGCCCCACAGGTGAGTGCCCCCTTCCGGATCGAAGTGGTCCCAGACATGCTGATCAAAGACCGGGCCTTCTCGTGTCACATAATGAACGGCATCGTGCCCCCGGGAGAGAAGAAATGCGTGTCCCTGTTCTTCCACCCCAAGACCCTGGACGACAGAACCGTGGACTACGTCTCCATCGTGCCCGCTGGCTGTGCCTCCCACATTCTGCTCAAAGTCGTTGGCTTCTGCATAGGTACTGACACGTCCCGGCCCAGGCCCCCTCCCACTGCAGGAGCAGCCCACCCGTACCATTCCCTCCTTGTCCCCTTCCAAGGGGCCTGCGCTTCCTGGCTCCGAAGTCTGGGTATCTGCTGCCCCCTGGCGTGCTCCATGCGGATTCGCCGTGGCCCCCTGAGGTTCTACTTCTGTGGCTGGCCTCCTCCGCCTGGCCGCCCGTCTTCAGCCAGCTGGCACCCTTTCTGAGACACCCTTGGGCAGCGAATCAGGGTCCCCCGCCCGCTCCCCAGGTGTCAGAGTCACCCTCAGGCCTCGTCTCCCACGCCAGGTCCAGCGGTGGCCCTGAAGCACGACTACGTCAACTTCAGCTGCATCGCCCTCGGGTCAAGCGCCGAGAGGTTCCTGTGGTTGGAGAACCAGGCCGGCTGCACGGCCTACTTCCAGTTTGACATCGACTGCAGGGAGAGCGTCTTCGGCATCAGACCCGCCTTCGGGACGCTGGCAGGCAAGGCCCGCTTGGCCCTGCGCTGCACCTTCCGACCCACCCACCCCATCATCTACTTCCGGAGGGTGGCCTGCCTCATCCACCACCAGGTAGGAGGCGGCGGAGGGAGGGGCCGGTCCGAGGGGGCGGGGCTCCCCAGCCGGAACCAGGTTAGGGGTGCTGGATGTGCCAAACAGAGGCCAGGGAGGAAGCCCGTGCCCCCTGTATTTGAAGCTTCCGGGGCTGTCTGCCTGGCACGTGTCCTCATCCAGGGGCTCCGGACGGCTCTGAGAGGTGGGGGGTGCTGGTCTCCTGATGCTGCCATGACGCTTCTGTCGCTGCTATCAGGCCTTCACACCCCACCCCGCAAGCAAGTGCCCCGCAGGCAGGGACAGGAGCATTAGGACCCCTGGGAGAGGTTGCACAGCTGTTCCCTGACCTTGGAACCCGCAGCCCCAGTGAAGGCTGCCGCCCAGGCCTGCCCCAACAGGATGCCCTGGCTCTGGGTAGCATCCTTCTGGGGTGGGGGGTGGGGGTGGGGGGCTTTCCCTAGTGCTCAGGAGGCACAGTGTGGCCCCAGGAAAGGACTTAGCAGAAGGAGGGTCCAAGGAAGGACGGGGCACAGGGAAGATGCCTGGTGATTGGCTGTGGATGCACAGTGGAGCCCTGGAGTCCAAGGAGACAGCACCCTGCTTGAGGGCCCCAGAGGGCTGGGGGTTGTTCTAGGCCCCCTCCATCCCCAGATCCCGGTGCTGGTGCTCACGGGGCCATCCTGTAGGGTCTGCCCTGCCGCCTGTGCGCCCCTCCTTCTACTACCAGCACCCTGAATGTCCCCCCACCCCCCGCCGCCCTTCCCACACTCATTCCATCTCTCACGACACTGCAGGACCCCATGTTCTTGGACCTGCTGGGGACCTGCCACTCAGACAGCACCAAGCCGGCCATCCTGCATCCCCAGCACCTCACTTGGTATCGCACCCACCTGGTCCGGGGCCTGACGCAGTACCCACCTGACATCTTGGGCGCCATGCTGAGGGAGGATAAGTTGGAGCAGGATGAGAATGGGGCCCTCATGATCCCTAACGAGGTGCGGTGTGGGCTGGCCCTCCACAGCGCCCTAGGGGGTGAGGATGGGGGTGCCGGGGAGCAGGCTGCCTCCTCGCCCTAGCCTGTGCCCTTTTCTCTAGCTCCTGAGCGATCCGGGCCCCTGCAGTGACCCCTCTTGGACCTGTCTCCAGGAGCAGGACCTGGAGGACAAGCAGCCCCCGGAGTACTCTGACATCCCCCCTATGATGGAGTACATTTACGACGGCACTGGCGACATGACCATCTTCCCCCCGCCCATCAGCATAGAGCCTATGGAGGTGGACTTTGGGTCCTGTCCAGGGCCGGAGGCCCCCACCCCTGTCTCCCTGTGCCTGATGAACCACACCAAGGGCAAGATCACTGTGGTCTGGACACGCAGGCCTGACTGTCCCTTCTGGGTGAGCCCAGTCACCTGTGACGTGCCCCCACTCAAGTCCACCGCCCTGCGCCTCCACTTCCAGCCGCCTTACGCCAACTGCCTGTGCATGGCGGAGCTGGAGGTCTTTGCTGTCTACAAGGTGTGTGCACTCAGAGGGGGCCCTCTCTCGCCCCCTTTCTTCTTCCAGACTCGTGGCCTTCCTTGATCAAGGGTGCCCTCCCACCCCTTATTAAGGGAGCACTCAGCTGGGACCCAACTGGGCAGAGTTACCCCCCCCCCAGAGTGGACCCTCCAAAAGGAGTATGGGTATGAGCCAGGCGCTGGGGTCATCTGGGTCGGAGCCATGTGCGGCAGTCTCTGCCGGCCTCATCCCCTGGTGGTGTGCCCTGCCAAGAGGACAGAGTAGAACTGCCCCTCGAGTGTGCGGGGCTGTCATCTTTACAGGACAGTCACCAGCCACGGCCTCTGAGCTGACCAGGGCTCCTACAGAGCCAGTTACTCGGCTCTTTCATCTTCCTTCTTGGCTCAGCCCACCTGCTGTTGTTCCTCCCCAAGGGCAGGGCAGGGGGGCCAGGGCCAAGAGAAGAATGGCAGCCGTGCAGACAGGACCCAGAGCCTTGGCGCAGCTCCGTAGCCCTAGGCAAGTTGCTCAGCATCTCTGAGCGCTGGCCCAGTCGTCCTATGAATCCAGGGTCACAGGCAAAATGTGGAGAGCCCCTCCTAAACCCACACCCAAGTCCACTGCCATCAAGTTGATTCTGACTCATGGTAACCCCATTTAGGGGTTCTGAGGCGGCAAACCTTTGTGGGCACAGAGAGCCCCGCAGTTCTCTCCAGGAGAGGCTGATGGGTTTGATCTGTGAACCTTGTGGTTAGTGGACCTCATATTTATCCCACAAAACCTGGTGGGGGAAGTGGGGGGCTTGTCACCATTCTAACATCTCAGCAGCTGGCCGTGTGGGGGAATGAGGCCGAGTGGGTCCGTCTTGGGTTTCAGATTGCACTGCCCCCACTGGCAGCTGCGTCCAGTTCCAGAGCCCTGAGTGGGAAGCCCAGGGACAAACAGAATGAGAAGCATCGTCTCCCTAATTTTGATGTAGTTCTTGCCCTGTGAATGTGCTGAGAGCCTTGGTTCTGTTGGGTCCAGTAAGCACCTTGTTAAAAGGAACCTCAGAGGTGTTACTCTTTTTTTAGGGTGATAAATTTTGTTTAAAAAATCATTTTATTGGGGGCTCCTACAACTCTTATCACAATCCATACACCAACTGAATCAGGCATGTTTGTACATGTGTTGCCTTCATTCTTTTCTAGACATTTACTTTCTTTTGAGTCCTTGGTATCAGCTCTTTTTTTTCTAATCATTTTATTAGGGGCTCATACAACTCTTATCGCAGTCCATACATACATCAATTGTGTAAAGCACAAATGTACATTCATTGCCCTCATCATTCTCAAAACATTTGCTCTCCACTTAAGCCCCTGGCTTCAGGTCCTCATTTTCCCCCTCCCTCCCCACTCCCCACTCCCCTGTGAATCCCTGATAATTTATAAATTATTATTTTTCCATATCTTGCCCTGACCGACATCTCCCTTCACCCACTTTACTGTTGTCCATCCCTCAGGGAGGGGGTCACATGTAGATCCTTGTTACCTCTTTTGACGTGGCCTTGGGCAGCTCTACAATTACGCTGGTGGCTGCCCCGGGACCGAGTTCTCTGGAACCTTCCCAGCAAAGAATGAATGCCACTTTCACAGCCTCATGTCTGGCCCTGGCCCACCCTCCTCTTCCCTGGGTGGGTAGGGGCCGAGAGGGTGGGACTCCTGCAGCCTGGGGTCTGGGCGGATTCCCCCAGGCTCTGAGCTGGCTGCCCGCTCGGCCCCAGGTCCTGCAGAACTACAATAACATCGAGGAGGAATGCACCGTGTGCCCTTCCTGGTGTCTGACGCTGCCGGTGCAAGGCCACAGCTACTCGGAGGCTTTCGAGCACCACATCCCCCAGTACTCCCTGGATGCCCCCAAGGTGAGTGTGGCCCCGAGGCAGCAGAGGGAGGTGGCAGGGGACCCGTGATTTCCACCTTGATCTGCAATTCCTCCTCCATCCCACCCATAAACTCCCTGGCCAGCCCTGGGCTCTGGGCCAGCCACGGGGTCTTCCTGTGGCAGACCTTGGGGACTGCGTGGATGACCCAGCAGCCGAGAACCTGGACACTTGGCTCTGCCTTCTGAAACCCTCACGTGGTCAGCCCGCACTTCTCGGGGTTAAGACTTGTTGACACTTCCATGGGCCTGTGCAGGCTACTGAGCACCTGGACAGCCAGGCCCTAGACTCAGAGACACCCAGACCAGTAGGAAGCCAGCACCAGTCCTCAGCTTAGATCCCTTCCTCAAACCAAGCCAAGATCAATGCCATCATGACTCCGACTCATAATGACCCTACAGGGCTGGGTAGAATGGCCCCAGTGGGTTTCCTCCGAGTCTGTACATCTGGATGGGAGTGGAAAGGGTATTTTTTTCCTGAGGCTCAAACTGCTGGCTGGCTTGTAACTCCCTTCACCACCAGGGGCCCCAGATGCCTTCCTCAGGAAGTCTTAACCCCTAGACCTCTGCCAAGGGGCTTGGGAGGCCTGCATCTGTCTCAAGAGGCAGGAGGACACAGGGCTTCAAAGCACAGGCAGGCCAGCATCCCAGTCCAAGCCACCTGGTGTCCTCTTCTGGCTTCAGGGCACCTCCCCTCCAGCGGTGTCAAATTTTCCCTCTATGCTCTCTACCCTCCTGCCTCACAGTGTTGGGAAGCTGCTCCCCACACCAGCTGTGCTTCTGCCCTGCAGCAACCCCCCCACCTGAACCATCCCACCCACGAGGGCACCCCCGCCTCCCAGCTTTGAGGTCCTGCCCCTTTACCCTTCTGGGTCCTTCCTGCAGCGTCTGAGGGGTGGGGAGTGCGGACTACTGCACCAGCTGCATGGGACGTGGGGCAAGGCGTGTGGGCTTGTCCTCTGCAGCTGCTCAACCCTCACCGAGGCTGGCCCACCCTTCCCACATCAAAGGAGGGTTTGGGATCTGGGGTTAGAGCGGCTTTCCTTCCTCAGAGGGGCGCTCCCTTCAGCTGCCTGCTCCAGAATCATCTAGAAGGGTTTGCTTGCCCTGGAAATTCTAGACTAGGATCTAGTCTATAAGGAGGGTGTGTGTGGGGGGGGGTGTTCCAGGGACACTCCCTGAAGGGAGTACCTTCAAAAGAGAAAGTCTCTACTCCCACCTCTTGGAGGTTGGTGTTTCCTGGGGCCTCCTGTTTCTGTGGTCACTCATCTCCCTCTCTGAATGTCTCTGGAGAGGGATTCCCGGACGCCCCCCTCCCAGGGTGCTGAGGGGGATGAATGGAAGCCCTCTTTGGAGATGGCCCTGCCTGAGTCCCCACACACTTCCTGGGTGGAGGGGTGGGGGGAATGGCAACATGAGCAGGGTCCCTCTGGACCCCTCTCTCCCCTCCCCCAGCTATTCCCCCCTGTGCCTGCCGGGGAGCCCTCCTGTTGCAGCCTGCTGCTCATCAACAAAAGCTCCATGCTGTTGACCTTCAACCTGGAGTCCCAAAGCAGCCCAGACATCATGCTACGACCCACCTCGGGCCTCGTGGCCCCCGGGGCCCACCAGATCATCCTCGTCTGCACCTACCCCAGGGGCAACTCTTGGAGAGAGCACGTCTTCTACCTGCTGTTCAACTCCTGCTCCCAGTATGTTCAGGTAGGTGGCCGGCCGGCCAGGCCCCATTTTCCAAGCCACCTTCTGTAGCTAGCCCGACAGCTCTCCTTAAAGAGCGTGTGTCACCTGGTCCTCTCTCCGTCCATGGGTCCTCCTCATTCCCTACCCACCCTGCCCTGAGCTGTCTGGGCCCAAGCTGGAGGAGGACCAGCTGATGCCCACTGTGGCTTCCTGGGTACTGGGGGAAGGGGTGTGTGTGTGTGTGTGTGTGTGTGTGTGTGTGTGTGTGTGTGTGTGTGTGTCAGGGCTGCAGCGTGCGGGCAGAGGCCTCCCCTCCCTCCTCTGGCCCCAGGAGGTGCACATGCAGAGCCGAGAAGAGCCGCTGCAGCTCGACACCTGTAAGAACATCTTCTTCAAACCCACCTCGGTGGGCTGCTCCTCCACCAGCCCCTTAACCCTGCACAACCCCACCCGGCTGCCCCTGGAGTTTGAGTGGAGGGTGTCCGAGGAGTACTGCAAGATACTGGCTGTCCAGCCCGCCCGGGGTCTCATCCAGGCCAATGAGACCACTGTGAGTGCCCCCCGCCCCAAGCGGGGGTGGGGGGTGGGGGGTCTGCGGAGCATGGGCCAGGCATGAGTGTGCACTGTCAACCCGCAGTCCCCACCCCCTAATCGTATGACCGTCATCATCACCCCCAGCAGCATGGAGACCCCGAGAGAAGGAGCTGTGTACAAAAATGCTAAGTTCCATCTTTATACAGAAGTGCAGAGCTGGGCTTGTGGTCCCAGGGCCCCTGGGAGTGCCCTTTCCAAAGTATCACTCCTGTCCCTGAGCTAGCTCCGTTTGGATGCAGAGGGTGGCCACGGGGTGAGGCCCGGGGCTCCCTGATCGAAAAGGACAGGAGTTTGGGCCCCAAGATAACGGGACTGTTCCTGGCCTAGGGCCCACCTTGGGACAGGAATCACCAGCATGGGGTGTCTATGTGCCCAGAGAACAGGCACTGGGCTGGCAAGAGGTGGCACTGAGAGTCCCCCGCCCAGCTCCGGCCCTCAACCACTCTGTGACCTTGGGCAAATCGCCCCAGTCCTCTGAGTCCCCAGTGTCTCACCAGGGATGAAGGCATGAGAAGCTTAGCTCTGCCTTTGAGAGAGAGCATAATGCAAAACACTGAATGGGGAACAGGGCGAAGGCTCTGCAGGGGCCCACTGAGGACCAGCACCTTGGGATGGGCTTCCAGGAGGCCCTCCCCCAAGGAGTGCATCTGCCACCCTAGACCCTGATGTGGATCTTCAGCCCTTTGGAGGATCTCAAGTACCTGTTCCGGGTGGGAATGTGGGTCTGGGAAGCCGGCCTGCCCCCCAACACCAAGCCCACCACCACCACCCACTCCCTGCTGCAGCTAGCGGGCATGGGCATCACCACCAGTCTATCTGTGAGTGAGAGAGCCCTGGTGGGGGTGGGGCAGAGTGGGGCAGGGAGGAGGTGGGTGCTAGCATCGACTGGCTGACTCTGACCCCCAGGCCCAGGAGCAGGAGCTGGACTTCGGGAACATACTGGTCAACAGCAGGCCATGCCGGGAGCTGGTGCTCCTGAACCAGAGCAAGTGCACGCTCCACTACCGCCTCTCCCTAGAGCAGAGGAGCCCGGAGCTCTCCGCCCACCAGCACCCGGGTACTCAGGCAGGGCCAGGAGGGAGAGGCGGGTGGGCACCCGTGAAGAAGGCGGTGCTTATGCAGGAGGGTTCAAAACCCCAGTGCTTCAGCTCCCCAGATGGTTGCCACTGGGCCGGGAACTCTGTCCAAGTTTCCGCTCCGAACTCTGCTGCTTGTCCCGGCTCCAGCCGCTCCTCGCTCCTCGGCTGGTCCAGGGGAGGGTGTGGAGGACACTGCAGGAGGAGAGACCGGGCATCCCATGTGCTGGGGACTTCCTCTGCCCCTGACCACCCTCAACCCTGGGTCATCCCCGAGCAGATCTGCAGCTGGAACGCACAGAGGGGATCATGCCACCCAACTCCCAGGACAGCGTCGGCCTGATTGCCTGCCCCACGCGCCGGGCCCAGTATGCCTGGACCATCCGCTACTCGCTCCTCTCGCCCAGAGGTAGCTGGCCCACCTCACCTGGCGGTCTGGGGTCTGGAGAGGGCAGGCCCGCTCTCAGAGGCGGTGTGGTGGCGCTGCAGGTCAAGCAGTCAAGGGTCCACCTTGTGTGCCTGGTACCTGTGCCATACACATCTCACCTTTCTGCGGTAGGCAGTGGGGGGTGGGGGTGGGGTGGGGGAGTCTGCGTGTGCCGGAGCTTCAGAGGCTGGGGAGGGGATGTTCTCCTGGCTTGCTGTGGGACCCCTGGGCCTCAGCCTTCCTCTCTGCAAGAGGGCATCATGCTGCACCTATCCCGTGGGTGGCAGCACGGACAGGGGTCCTGGCGTGGACTCGGGGCCCCGCTGTGCACGTGCGATGGGTTCCTGGCTCTAGAGCTTATTCTCCATGGGATGCCGGCGAGCAGTGTCGCCTCTCCATGCCTCAGTTTCCTCATCGGCCAGGTGGGGAGAGTCACAGCCCAAAGGCAACCAAACAGGCGGCAGTGTTGACACCCACGGGCCTCAGAGACAGTGTGCCAAGTGAGAAGCCAGACAAAAGGCCACCACTTGGTGATTCTGCTCCTATGAAATGTCCAGAGAAGGCAAATGTGTAGTCAGAATGTAGAGCCTGGGGGTGGGGGTGGGGGGCAGAGCCCCAGTGGTTCCCCAATGGACGGGTAGCCACGAGGTCAGAGGTTCAGACCCAGGCGCTCCACTCCTGCAGTTTGAACCCTCAAATGCACACAGTAGTTGAGAGTAGAAATCTGCTGGACAGCAGTGGGGGCGGGGGGGTGG